AGACGAAAAATAAGAATATTATAAATTTTTGGAAAATGGGCGTGGCCACGCCTACTTATGGTTACATGTGTATAACTTGGTAACCGCTGCACCAATTTCTTCCAAACACGGCACAGTTGTTGGCCTCGGTATAACATACATATGAAATGGCCGAAAATTCAAAAAATCTGACAATAACCACGCCCACATCCATATAACGGTAATTTAGAGAAATACAATATCTTCGATAAATCAGTAAATATTCAAGTTTTTATACTCAAAATTGATGCTTGCAACAATTCTTTACCAAGAAATACGTTTATGGTAAAATTTTGGAAAATGCCGCCCACTTATGATCACACATATGTATATCGGTAACCGTTCTACGAATTTGTACCAAGCTCGGTATTTTTATTGTGCTTGCCACATATAAGCAAAACGTTGAAAATTATTGAAATCGGACTAAAATTACGGCCGCTTTTCATATAACGGTAAATTTCAGAAATGCTGGAAACTGCAATATTTCGAAATTTAAGGACGCTAATTTACTCAAAATTGATACACCCCGGCTTACCATCTAGCGGTAGCTTTCGGAAAGGTGAAAAAATATATATTTAATACTTGCGCCGGGTATTTAATGTTCGGCTCCACCCGAACTTAGACTTTCTTACTTGTTCAAAACTCATTTTGCCTGTTTTTCAAGATTTAAGTACCTTAAATTCCTAAACTTGATAATCAGCATCCCGAGAAACCCACTGGTAACGAGTTCCAACCCTTTACATGCTTAAAACGTTCAGTATCATTGTTTTAACTTTAGTATTTTTTTACGAATTTGATTGCCATATTGGATCCGCCATTTTGATTAAAAAAAATTTCTTCAGATTCGTAATAAGCGGCCCCAAAAACTACCAAGTGCCGAGTTTCGAACAAATCCAATCATTTTTTTTTTAATTGATCGCCATTTGGATCCGCTATTTGGAATTTTGAAAAACTGACTTCAGATTCCCAATTAGCAACCCCAGAAACCTCCTGGTAACAAGTTCCAACCCATGACAATGCGTAAATGGTTCAGTATCAACGTTTTAATTTTAGTAGTCTCTTTTCCAAAGCATATTTTCGGACACTAGGCCCATTCCAACTGTCTAAGACAGGTATGTAATTCAGGGAATGCTCTCCAATAATACCGGAGTAATTATATGTAAAAAGAACATTTTTAGCTGGATTTTAACATGTCACGAAAATTAAAAAAATTAGAACATCGGCGTTTTTATAAAAAACCGAGCAGCGCGAGCTCTACAAAACTTTTTTTTTCAAAATAAAAAATCCATTTCACTTTTTATTATCACAAATGACAATAATTTGAGGTAGCGTTTATGAATTTTTTGAGATACTTTTTTTTCAATTTTTATACTTTTCCAAATACAAATGAAAAAACTCTGGAAATTTGTATATATTACAAAACCTGTCGTGCACTTGTGGCAACCTCATGATCCAACTACACAAGATCTGACAAGATGAAGCAAAAGAAAAAAGTAATTTCCTGGCTGACGTTTGTAATTTCGGCGCATTAAGATAAAAATGCGAGCAATTTTGTAGCACATGTTTGTGCTAACCAATTTATTATTTTTGTACGTGTTTTTGCAACCAACCCCCCCGCGCACTTCATTGTAATTAAATTTGCACAAAAAAAAATGTTCAAAAATCGCTTTAAAATCACTGAAATAAACCACCGACAACATACACATAAAGAAAGAAACAAAACGGAAATAGCAAACTTCAAAATTACGAACGTCACACACTTTTTTCTCAATTGCTATTACAAATGGCTCCTTCTCAACCGATCAGATCTGTTCTGATTGCCCTGCCAGCCACGGCTTACCACTTTCCCCTGAAAATCAAACGATTTACAAACATATTCACAACTTTTTAGTCATCTCACCTACACACTTACAAATTTTTTGTTTCAACTGTCAACAAATATTCCCTTTGTTAGAGCTGCGTACCCGATAAGAGTTCGTACCCTAACAAGAATTCTATGCGTTAGAGCGATCAAGTTAGAAGCATCGAAGTTTTGATGGCAGTATACATACTGTGAAGAAATGTCACTTTGCGAAAATTTTGAAGGTAAGAATACATATTTAACAATTTCATTTGATTATAATGTAATTTTTCTTTTAGATTGCAAACACCAGCGACTTCGCCACAATCTAAAGGTATGTATTAAGATTTTTTATATGTCTATAAAGTTTAATTGATATTTTTTTGTTTACCGATTTGGCATTCACCATCAGCACCTTCAACGCCAGCAGCTTCATCCCCAGGAGCACCATCAGAAAACTAAGTTTGTAAATGATTTAAAACTGTTACTATACATCAAAAGAAGGGTAAATCGATTAATTTTGAAAAATACACATCAAAAAAAAATTTAAGATTCTTTATTTTAAGTTTTTAAGGTTATTTTAAATTCGCTGTGAAGAGAATGCAACCCCGCGCCGGCTGAAGTGGGCAATGCTTAGGAAGTATCTGAATGAGTGCGACAATGGTACAAGGCTCACACGTACAGGGGGAAACTAGTGAAAATCTGCACACCGCCCATACAAAATTCACCAGATTTTTCACCAGTTTTGAAGTGAATGAAACCCGCGGTTTCACCAGATTTTTCACTACTTTTGGCTGGCAGGGTGGTTCATGTTGGCAACGTACATCCAAAAGTTCATTGTCGTTCACTGAACGAACCTTTCATGTATTGTGATTCATGGTCCATGACGAAAAACATCAAAATGTGAATAACCGAAAAGTATCATAGCGTTAAATTTTTTTATTTTCGCTATGTTCAATAACAAAAATTAGGGCTTGGTACTCGGTAAATCGGCGCTCGGTAGGGCTGGTGGTAACATCGATGAAATATTAATATTAAATCAAAATAAGAACCTGTTTCCTATAGGATTATTTATGATAACGTTTTAGGAAGTTATTCAGCAAGTTATTTTTAATATTTAAATGTTTTTAAACGCCGAAATTGAGAGAATGTTGTCTGGCGGCATCATGTGGCAAATGCTACATATCAAGACATCAAAGAGCCCACACACAAAAACTTGCACTCATACTGCTCGTCAAAATGACAGTTGGTAGGCCATCGGTGTTTGCCCGTGGAGTTTAGTATCGGTTTACCGGTTACAGAATTATCGTGGTGGAAGCTTGATAATTTTTCTGTTATTTGGTAAACTGCAATCAGCTGTACGATAATCATCCAATTTTGAATCCGCCCGCTGCAGAAAGGCATAACCCATTTGAGTAAATAAAATTCCTTAAATTTTTTGTTACAATTTATTTATTTTTTTTCTAGGAAAAAAGCTACGAATCATCTGTTGATAAACATGCATAGTTTACCAGACTAAAGGTGTGGTTAAAGGTGGCAATGTTAGCTCTTTTTCTACGCATTTTGCTGTCAAAATGCGAAATCGAAAGTCTACTTTCCCGTGTAAGGAGCCAGAAAGTCCTTTTTGCAGATTTGCAGAAGTCACTTTTGGCAATAAAAATTGCAAGCTGTAACTGCAACTGAAATTACGCAAATCGCTTTCGGGAAATAATTTCAACTTTCCCGTGCAATAAATGTTAAATTGTTTTGGAAAATGGTTTTTCATAAAAATGATTGGTTTTATTCCATATTGATGCTTTGATTTTTCACATGCCCGCGGTCACACTGGTCCCCATATGTCCGAAAAAAATTGTTATTGGAAGCTGACAAGATGAAGATTTTTGTGAAATCCAAATTTTCGACCCTGAAATTTCGTAGGAACAGGGAAAACTTAGATTTACTTTTGGATTTTCTTATATTTATGACACGATTTTAACGTGTCGTACATAATTTTAAAGGTGTTTTAGAGAGATACATAACCATGTCCTATGGATCAAGTAAAAATGCATCCCTGTTTTTAGATTTATGGTTAACGGATGGTGATTGTATTTTTATGAAAAGCTGTTTCATAAAATTAAGCTCTTTAGAAAGTGATGACTTTTTGGAATCGTTACAATAAAGAAAGGGGGTTAGAACACAAAAACATATTTTGAACGATATATCACACTTCGAAATCGAGTCATAAATAAAGATGTTAGGAGAAATTTTCTTTTTGGCTGCTTTTAGTACTCACCAATGACGAAAATGTGTACGACAATAAAATCCTCCGAAGGTAAGCTTTCAAACTAAGGTAACTAAGGTGTAATAGCAAAAATTGTTATATTGTGCGGTGACCAACCCAATCTAAAAGCCTGATTATGGCAACTTAACTTAATTTAACGGAACGTAGAACTTAGAGAATCAAAATGAAACAGATTTCGACGTGGCATTAAATTACATTAAGTTTCGGCTGCTCAATAATAAGCAACACCCATTTAACTGAATTTTTAAGAGAGAGCCATAAGTTGCGTTAAGTTGGCATAATCGGACCATAATGTGCACTTATGGTCTGATTATGCATACTTCGTATAACTTCGCACAACTTCGCATAAACTTCAAACTGTCTTTTCGTATGTACTTTGTATCTAATTTGTATGTATTCCATTACCCAGAAATTAGCAGAACTTTTAAAAACTTAGCGATCTGTTGAGCTTAGATTTTACTTCACATTATCTTAAGTTACATTTTTATTGGACTGGTACAAATGGTTGTGCGAAGTTATGCGAAGTATGCATAATCAGACCCTTAGTTTGGAGCATGTTTATTCTCTTAAATATACAAATATATGCACGTACATACTTATGCTGTTGGCACGAGCGAAGTAATCTAATTTTGGAATCACTTCATTCAATCTTAGCATCTGCTCAGATCCCAATGCTCCCAAGAAAACACTAAACGGCACACGCCCGCCTATTTTTAACGGCCGAAGCGCAAGCAGCCGTTCTCGTTGTGCCATTCAAACACAGGAAACACAATGAAAAGTTTTCCGGCTGAACAAAAACACCTAGTTATCTTACACACAAATGCATATGTACATACATGTCGAATGAGTATGCCGTAATGCATTCTGATGTCTTAGTTATACGATCAGTTACATTACGGCAACCATGAATATAAGACCTTGGTAACAATCACTCACAATATTTGATTCAACGAGAATATAAATGTGCTAAGAATTATTAATTGAATACAAATTAAAATTAATTTTCAGTGAAACATCGCAGTATTCCTTGAGCCATTCCTTTTGTGATTATGCCCTGAGTGATCCAGTTCTAATAATCATTACTCTAGCAGCTGTAGTTGGATCGTTTTGCTTACTCAGCGGATTAATCCTACTTTGCGCCGTGTCCAAAACCTTACACGATCAAACTTCAGAGGCTATTCTCCTTCTTGGTAGGTCATAGATACATATGTATGTACTATACGTATGTATCTTGCATCTGAGTTACTTCCGGAAAGTAAAGATTCACACATAAGTGTTATTTATTACAGGTATTGGATTTTTTATCTACACAATTGCGTTCGTCACATGGAAAATAACGAATGCCCGTAGAATCGCTCATGTGATTCAGGCTCTCAATAAGGAAATTGCAACGAGCCAAGTGTGAATATTCCTAGTATTCAATTATTAATATTTTGAATGCATGAGTATGTATTTATGTTTGTAGGTATGTATGTATATACAAATGTAGGACTGAGTTGATGGAATAGTGATACATAGATGCACAAGTCCATAGGTACGTTATTTATAAACACATTTATGATTAAGTTGAGGAGCAGATGGAAAAGTTAAATATGCGACTGCAACCCAACAAATATTATTATAAATGGATATTAAATGAAGCGAGTATAATTGAGGCGCTTATTTTTAAAGTGGCATTAGTCACATTTTCAAAAAAATCTAGTTAATGATAACACCAATTAGAATTTAACGGTATCTGTTAATTAAAAAAATGCATTGAAACGTTAAGAACTACTGAGGTTTTGTTCGAGAGAAGTTTTACTAATCAGCGGTATACCGAAAATGATTATTTTGAAAGGAAGTCACTCAAAAAAATCAAGTTAATGATAACATGGATTACACCGAGCAAAAATCAGTTTTGCACAAAAAAAAATTCTCCTAAAACTAGGAGCCAAATATAGTAAAACAGTGTTTTTAGTTTCCCTAGCATCAGGATTTTTTTAAGGACTTTGAAATTTCAAAAATTTTATTAGTTCCAAATTATTTAAAAATTTCAGTGTTATATAAAATAATAATATGGGTACCAAATAAAAGACAAAATTCTTTAAAATTGAAAAATATTAAATTTTTAGTATTAGGTATTGAAAACGTCCTTTTAAAATTTTGTCCCTAAGTATCGTTGCAAATTTGCAATATCTATTTATTTTTGAAAAACTTATAGGTTCAGGACTAATATATACAGGACCATATCCTCGATTTTCATTCTTCTAAAAAATAAAAACAAAAAAAAAATTTTATATTTTTAAATTCTAAAGAATATTTTCTTTCATTTGATACAGATATTTTTATTCTTTATTCCACTTTTTTTAATAATTTTTGAAACTATAATTTATTTGAAATTTCAAAATTCTTTCAAAAAATAATCTAGACCCGAGAGAAAAAACTTCAAACGCGATTTTACTATATTTGGCCCCTAGTTTCGTGTGCTTTTAAATTTTTTTGTTGCACGGTGTTAGAATTAATTTGAATAAACTTTTCATTAAAGCATGGTATAAATTATTATTTTTATATATAGGGTATTCCACCGTCACGGGTGGGACATTTGTACAGTAAAAATGTTCCTACTTTTTTTAAATTTGAGTATAAAGTACTCCACAGTTCTACTTTTTAATAAAACTACACCTAATTCACTATTATATGAGTTATTACCAAATACAAAAAAATCCTTTTATATGGGAAAAAATCTGAGTTATTTCTTCTGTAAAGGGTGGGGAAAAAATAACCTGCTTTTTGGAGCAGATACGGAAACTTTTCTGTGTAAACTTTATGTCTTGAAATAGAAAAAAGAACAACAACGAATACTACAAAGCAAAAACTTACACAAAAATACACATTCTAAGGTGAGAAATTCAGTTGGTATGGGAGGTGCGACGCCCCTTTTTCAATAACTCCCATTTTTTCCATGAGTCTTTATACTAAGTTGCAGCACTCTACGGTGAATACTTCCAGAGAGGGAAAACTTTAGTTTGTATGGGAGGTGCCACGCCCATTGATATATCGAAATTATTCTTCTTCTATTATCATCCTTTGACAGTCTAGAGTCGATGTCCAAAATTTCAAATATATCGGTCTATCTGTCCTCCAGTTTTTCGATTTTTTGCGACGCACAGTGGGAAATTTTGTATGGAGGTGCGAAATTAATTAAAAACCTGGAGTAATAAATAAGGTACCGCAATAAAACTTAAGGAATATGTAAATATAAGGCCAAGAATGGATGGTGGGGAAAATGGGCTATCTGACGATAACACGTCCACTTTTCATATAAGTGTAATTTTCGGAAACATGGATGTGCGGAATTAATTTATATTTAACTAGCTGACCCGACGAACTTCGTCCCGCCCAAAATTTATTTTTTTATTGAAACATTTGGTCCAACGTTTTCACCACAATTCACGTTCAAGTTTGGTTTTGTGGTCGTCAGAAAGCATATTCTCTATTGCCGTCATAAATAACCTAACGAAGTCGTTATGTCCGTGAAGAAGTTCTTGCCGCAACAATGATCCGGTACGATGATAAATCGTCCTTGAATCTGTATCCCTGTATCCTGTGTCCTTGAATCTGGAGGCAAATTCAAGATGGGGGAGTATCATTGATCTATAGAAATCCAATATACATAGACTTACTTCAGACGAAATATCATAAATGTCTTACAATTTTCTTTGTAGGAATTCATCAAGAGTTGTCTTTATTCTGTTTAGTCACAGTAAATCAAGGAGCGCAATGGTTATAGTAATAGATTTAACGGTGGTAACTTGACTACCTAGCCTAGTATCTCCAAATGACTTCACTTGACAATTTTTAGCAATATCTCGACTCCAGCGCAATCTTGCGGATACAATTTTTAGTACTAACTCGACTCCAGCGCCATCTGGTGTTTTAAGTTGTGAACCTCGTTTAGGAAGAGATCACTCACAAAGACACGTAGCCAAGAATTATATATGTATTTACAAATAGGTAAAAGTTTCAGACTGGAATTGAGTATGGGATTGATACCATATCAAGTTCCAGGACTGCTCCACAAATACTTCCAGAGATATGCGGTACGAAAAATTCGATTTGTATGGGAGATTCCACGCTCCCTTGATATAACGAAATTATTATCAGCCTATAACCAAAAGGTGTCCACAATTTCAAAGAAATCGGTACAACCGTTTGTGAGATCACCTCTTATAAAAATAGGGGACTTATCTTTATATAACTGATATAGATAATAAGTATAGGTAAATAGCCAATACCCGATTGCTTTGCGGCGCCTTAAAACGCCTTTCCCACTGTAAAACAATCATTCAATTCTAATCTACGTATATTTATAATACGTGTTCCGAATTTCAAGAAAAACTGACAATATTTACAATTTTTTTAGAATAGATCAGTCCATGGTCCACCTATCAGAAAAAAGTATCCTGTTAAACCGGGCAATAAGCTACCTATGCGCCAAATTTCAAGCAAATCAGACCATAAAGAAGATTTTTTCGAATAGATCGGTCTCTGGTGCACCTTCCGGAAAAAAGTTATTTTTATTTTTTTGCCTATGACACGGTGGTTGCTGAAAGCTATTTACGTACAAAATTTCATGAAAATCGGACCAGCCGTTCGCGAGATTGCCTGTTACAAAAAAAGGGACTTCTCTTTATATAATTAGTATAGATAAGTTTTCTTACTAAAATTGCAAGTATCTTCGAAAGTATTAGTCCTATATAATTTGGTATATGGACCCTTTTTGTAGAGAATCGAAGTAAGCTAAGAAAAAAATTTTTTTTGTACTTGATCTTTGATGGACTTGGGCGAGCCTAAGATATTGACCAAAAATTGTCATCTCTCACACGGATTGTTTTTAGAGCATAATTAACCATATTTTTGCTATTACCACTCAAAATTCTAAAAAAGTGGATTTTTGGCCCACGTTAACCTACAACCGAAGCATACATAGTGGTTCATTGGGAACAAAAGAATATCTTATGAAGTAAAGCCTTTTCTTGGAATATATGAATTACATTATATATGAAAACGAACTGATGAATAAATTTTTGGCTGTATCCGTTATTTCAGATTGTCGCAAAAAATAAACTTGCCTAGTGATGAATTCGCCCCTTGATATGGTGGTTTCTCAAAGCTATTTATATTCGAAATTGCATGAAAAATGGAAAACAGGATCCAATGAGCTTATCCAGGCAAAAAGCCACCTACGTACAAAATTTTAATTAAATCGGACCATAATTACGATTTTTCGAATAGATCGGTCCCTGGTCCACTTGGCGGAAAAAGGATCCTATATGCTAATCTAGACAAAAAGCTAACTATATATAGGGTTGCCAACGTTTTCTAGGATATTTATAGTACTTTTTGCAACAAAAAAATATAGTACACTTCAAATATATATAGTGTTTTATTTAAAATAAAAAGTAAAAACGATTTTTAAGTGATGGAAAGTTTCTTCCTGTGAATTCCGAAATTGTTGGAATAGAGAGTAGAAATGAAAAAACTTTAATTAAATTTGTTAATTCTTTCTCAGTTATCTTACCTTTTTTTATTATAACCGTTTTTGATTATACCGTAAAACCCGCTTAAGTACCTTACGAAAAATGTCAGCTTTTTAAGGTACTTAGGCGGGTTGGGTACTTAAAAGAACCCGCTTTAGTACCTCGATGCGGGTACTTAAGCGGACATAATTACTGATGTAGTTACATCTTCTTGTTAACTTACATAAATACTTGAATAACAACATTTAATGAAGTATACATAGTTTAAAACCAAAATCGTAGCATTATGTAAATACATAAACATGTAAAGAAAAACTTTATTAAAAAAATATTTAGTGCAATGGTATATAATTTTTACAAGAATTAAATTGTTTAAAATGTCAAAGTTGGGCATATCATTTTGTACCAAATTCACAATAATATTGTTGACCGCTTATGTTTATTTATTAATTTTTAAGATTTTTCAGTTAATTAAAATGCAGTTCATTCCCTAACAAATACCATATAAACCTAAGCTTAAGATTTTGTAGAACACTTAAAAAAAATCATCATAATTTCAAACTTTTTTCTCAGAAGTGTTTTTTGAGTATACAGTTTTTTAGCCCATTCAATTTTAGTTTAATAATGTGCAACTTTCAAGTGGCTAAAAGTTACCGTTGATTTTTAAAATATTTTTACCGAAGGTGTGTGGCGCTGCTACTGAATTTCAAAATACATAAATATTTTAAAGAATTTTAAACGAGCACTCAAAAGGGGAAAATTATAAGTAAAATTGTAAATGTAAAAATGACAAATTGAGGTACTAAAGCTGGTTGGGTAATAAGCGTGGAGGTACTTAAGAGAGGGATTTTCTTCAGAATACATTAAAAAATTCATGGCACTCAAAAGGGGAAAATTATAAGTAAAATCGTAAATGGGGCATGACAAATTGAGGTACTAAGGCGGGTTGGGTACATAAGCGGGGAGGTACTTAAGAGAGGGATTTTCTTCAGAATACATTAAAAAATTCATGGCACTCAAAAGGGGAAAATTATAAGTAAAATCGTAAATGGGGCATGACAAATTGAGGTACTAAGGCGGGTTGGGTACATAAGCGGGGAGGTACTTAAGAAAGGGATTTTCTTCAGAATACATTAAAAAATTCATGGTGTCCAAAAATGTTGGTTACTTAAGCGGGTTTCACTGTAAATTCACAATGACCTTTTGTTTTAAAGAATATTTCATTTAATATTGTTATATCCATTTTAATAAACATTTTTTCGTGCAAATTACTGAAAGATATTTAAATTTATAATTAAAAAAATATAGTATTTTTGCGTACTATATTTTTTCCAACAGTATATAGTACCCCGACCGGAAAAATAGTAAAATACTATATATTATAGTACGGTTGGCAACCCTAACTACATACCAAATTTTAAGCAAATCTGACCATAAATACATTTTTTCGAATAGATCGGGCCCTGGACCACTTCCCGGAAAAAAGGATCCTATATGCCAATCTAGGTAAAAAGCTACCTACGTACCAAATTTTAAGCATGTCGGACCAAAATACGATTTTTGCGAATAGATCGGTCCCTGGTCCACCTACCGGAAAAAGGGATTTTTTACTCAAAACATGGTGGTTACTGAAAGCTATTTATGCACAAAATTTCATGAAAATCGGAGCAGCCGTTCGTGAGATTATCTGTTACAAAAAAAGGGACTTCTCTTTATATAATTAGTATAGATAAATTGGAGTAAAAATTGAAGTAAATATCTCAA